TAATTTTAATTTTGTATAAGGTAAATGTAGATAGATAAGACTCTCATAAACAAAAGCTCATTAGGGTTCTCAACCAATTTTAAGTGTACTAAGATACACTTAATACACTTTAATTAAGATACACTTAATAGGCCAGGCGCAGCGGCTCATGCCTGTAATCCCAACACTTTGGGAGGCCGAGGTGGGTGAATCACCTGAGGCCAGGAGTTCCAGATGAACCTAGCCAACATGGTGAAACCCCGTCTCTACTAAAAATACAAAAATTAGCCAGGCGTGGTGGTGCATGCCTGTAATCTCAGCTACTGGGGAGGCTGAGGCAGAAGAATTACTTGAATCCGGGAGGTGGAGGTTGCAGTGAGCCAAGACCTCACCATTGTGCTCCAGCCTGGACAACAAGAATAAAGCTCTGTCTCAAAAAAAAAAAAAAAATACACTTAACACACTTAAAGTGTATATTAAGTGTATTTTTGGTCCTGAGACCAAAACCTTTGAGAACTGCTGCTCTAGACCACAGGACAAAGTGGGGCTCCTGTCTGCTCCTCTACCTGCTTCCCGTGCTTCACCCCCAGGGCCCCACCACGTTGTCACTCACCTCTCAGCACACTGGGCTGAGGGTACAATGGCATCTGACAAGGTCACTTTGCTGTGGAATGACCCAGGTCTGGTATGGTTGCTTGGTTGCTTGGCAAAGAGAACATTGTAATCCACACATCGAAAGAGGAAGGTTGTGAAGGTGACAATGAAAATGAATTGTCTGCCGGGAGGAAGGGGGGTGTCGGGATGCTGCAGTGATAAGGGACAGCCAGGTAGGCTCCTGTCCTGGCTCCCAGAGCCACCCGGGGTCATCCTCCCCAACCCTGCCCCTGCTGAACCCCTGGGCTGCTTGGGAAAGCATGGGATGGAAGCAGCAGGCATGATTAAGGAAGCAGATGACAGGAGGAACACATGGGCCCAGGGGACCAAGTTACATGGCCAGGCTAAGGGTCTCACCCCAGCTGGAAGACATCCTCCAGCAGGATGCAGGCAAAGCCATTCCGCTGGTGGTAGTTGTAGATGTGGCCGCATGTCAAGGAACAAGCCTGGGGCACGAGGGGCCTCTCTTGAGGACACCTCCCCTCAGCCCCAACACATGTCCCACCCATGACGCCCTCATGGAGTCTCCCTGCCAAGAATAGTGCCAGCTCTAAGGGGACCTTCCCATGCCTCCTTGCAGGCCTAGCACAAAGGATATCTTGGTGAAGAAGCTGTCCAGGTTCTGGATGTGATGCCAGGAGCCTGGGCACAGAGGGGAGAGTGTCAGCCCCTGGCACGTGATCAGTTCTCCATGTTCTCAACCCGATGCCAGAGGCCCTGCCTGGGGTAAGTACTGGAGCTCCCAGGCACCACCAACTAGCTCCCACCCAGACCCACCACACACATACCCCGGAGCCCTTCAGGGACGTGAAGCAGGGGTTGCTGCTCCTCCCCATGGATGGGTAAGTCTTGGGACCCCTCAGGGTCACAGTCCTCCAGCCGCTCATAATCCTGCTCAGGGATCAAAGGGCCTATCCGAAGCCCAGGAGAGTCCTGGGGGCACTGGTGGGAGGGAGGGGCAGTCACCGAGGCCAGGGGTGGGGTGGAGTGGGATCCCCAGGAGGGGGATGCAGAGGTAGGTGTCATTGCAGGTTGAACCTGTGTTGGGGGGATGGCTGGGGTGGGGAGGGCACTGTGGCAAGGCTGAGAAGCCCCTGTCCCCTGTAGCACTGAGCAAGGGGGCCCTGGGATGAGAGGGGAAAATGAGGAGGGAGAGCTTCTTGTATGAGGGGCAGGGGACAGAGAGAAGATGGAGATCCTCCCTCCCCCAGGTCGCCGGCAGGAAGGAGGAGGAGGAGGTGGCATGGGGAGGAGGGGCACTGATCCAGGCCCCAGGTCTCCCCACCGCTCCAGCCGCCCTCTACTCCTCCCCCAGCCCATTCGGCTCACCATGAGGCCACTGCTTCTCCAGAAAGGATAGAAGGATGGGAGCTGTTGCTGCTTCCACAGAGGTCTGTGATGCTGAGCTGGGACTTCAACAGGAGCTATGACAACAACAATACTAGGTGACTCAGCCCAGGCAGGCCTTAGGCGTCCCAGCTCTCAGTCACCTGCCTGATCACTCACACCCCTTCCAGGACAACCTGAGGCCAAATCCCTCAGGGCCTGAGAGGGGCATCAGTTTAAGAGCCAGGGCCTGAAGAGCACATTGAGATGACAGGAGATTTCTATTATCTCCATCTTCAGACCTTAAATGAATGAAAGATAAAGAGAGCAGCAGCCAAAATGAGAAAACCAAAATGCAAAACTGTGTTAGAGCCAGGTGTGGTGGTACGTGCTTGTGTTCCTAGCTACTCAGTAGGCTGAGGTGGGAGGATGACTTGGTGCAGGTTACAGTGAGCTAGATCTAGCCACTACACTCCCGCCTGGGAAAGATTCCCGTTCACGCCCCCCCCCAAAAAAAAATCCTATTAAAGGATTGTAGCTGGGCATGGTGCCTCACACTTGTAATCAGTCTCAGCACTTTGGAAGGCTGAGGCAAAAGGATTGCTTGAGGCCAGGAGTTGGAGAACAGCCTAGGCAACAGAGTGAGAAGACTCCATCTCTACAATAAATCATAGGGCCAAGATGTTAAATATTTCATTTCTTAAGAGTGTACCTCCCCTGCTTCCCTCCACACGCTCACTACAGTGATCAACAGGGAAATGTTTTGTGAATAAAGTAGGAAAGAAAAAGAAAAGGGCCAGGCACATTGGCTCACACCTGTAATCCCAGCACTTTGGGAGGCTCAGGTGAGAGGATCACTTGAGGCCAGGAGATCAAGACCAGCCTGAGCAACTTAGAGGGACACCATCTCTATGAAAACTAAAGAAAACACTCAATTATTTTTTAAAGAATAAGAAAAGGCTGCATGTTTTATTGGTCTGAGGGGCTAAGGAAGGGAAGCGGGGGAGCCTGATTTTGCAGCCAAGTTGGGGAAAACTAAGAAGAGGAGAAGACAGGAAAGGCAGCTGTCTTGGATTTGAGAGTCGTTTTGGGGAGCTTAAAGTAGAAAACTGAGAGGCCATGCATGGTGGCTCACACTTGTAATCCCAGCATTTTGGGCGGATCACGAGGTCAAGAGTTTGAGACCAGCCTGGCCAACACAGTAAAACCCATCTCTGCTAAAAATACAAAAATTAGCTGGGCGTGGTGGCAGGCACCTGTAATCCCAGCTACTTGGTAGACTGAGGCAGGAGAGTCACTTGAACCAGGGAGGCAGAGGTTGCAGTGAACCAAGAGTACACCACTGCACTCCAGCCTGGACAACAGAGCTAGACTCTGTCTGGAAAAAAAAAAAAAAGTAGAAAAATGGGCTTCTCTGAAAGTTCCATTCCATTTCCATCCTTATCCTTTTGAACTTTGACATTCTCTCAAGTCCGGATCCAACTTCTGGGACCTGCTGAAAAGCATCCTGGCTGAATCAGAAAGGAGGACAGCTGTGAGTCTGGGACTTAGAAGGATAATTTGAGTACCCAGGGAGGAGCTGAAATGAGTTCCTTGTTGTCACCTCAACAATGAGGAGGAGGCCCAGGCAGCTGGTCTGGTGGCTTGCCCAACGCCATTCTTGAGGACCTGAATCATGAGGTTTCCTTCTAAAGCCCATTCCTGAGATGCTGACTCAGCCACCAGGTGTCAAGGTTTCTAGGGCTTAGGCCCAAGGGCTGATGTTGGGGCCAGTATCCCTGAAATGGAGAGATGGACACTGTGCTTCCCAGATTGTTCACTGAAGGCAATCATGGAATCACCCACAAAACTAGGGTCCAGGTGTGCCTGATTTTTCTCCTTCTGTGTAGAGTATTGTAGTAGGAGTAGCTTAGCTCTTGTATGCCTTTATCCCTGAGCAGGAGGCAGAGCTATGAAAACAAGACCTGTCTTTCTAGAGGTAGCTAAATAGAATCCCACATTGCAGAGGGGCCAGCAAATTCTTATAATCTTTCTGAGATATCTGCCAAGATGGGTTATGTGGAGTTTTGTGTAGTCTCTCCCCCACCTCACTCACCCAATGTCACTCAATATCATGGCTATTCCACCACAGTCACAATAGGTCCCCTCCCTATACACCCGGAGCTCCCTTGCCCAACCCTAAACTAATCCTGGGACATTGTCCTACCTAGTTTAACCCTCAATTCATTCTCATTGACAGTCTCCCTACCACCACTCCCAAGTAAAGTCGATTTATAATAAAGGGCACTTCTCCTTGCCAAGCATTTGGAAGGGAAGGGAACAGATAAATGAAACAGAGCCACTACCCAGCAAGAAGTTGCAGCCCCGTGGAAAGACAAATACACAAACAATTACAGGGAAGAAATAAGAGTGATGCAAACTTTTCGGTAGGAGCCTGAGGCACGTCTTTCTGATCCGAGTGATGAAGGCATCTGTGAGGCAGAGAGATCTGAGGCCGCGCCTTGATAAATTACAGGACCTCCATACCAGTAGTTCTCAACAGCTGAGGCGTAGGGCAAGTGTCAGAATCACCGGGGGAGTTTTTCCCCAAGTAAACGTGACAGATGTCCCAGCAGTTCTGATATGCCTAGGAGAGCGGGGTGGGCAGCAAGGTATATGTATGTGTTTTGAAAAAACTCCCAGTCGACTTGTGTTCATTCCAACCCCAGAGCCCGCGTTCTACACTCCCTGGAGACGACGGTACATCTAAAGATCCTAGAACCTTCGGAAAATGGCCCAAGGTGGGCGGCTGACGCGTTACCATGGATACTCCAGGTGGAGGGCCTGACCGGGCACACCCTGATGACGTCACCCCGAGCCGACTGGCGCACAGGGCAAAAGGCAAACCCACTTCCTGTTCGGCTCCGCCCAGAGCAGGGGACGGGCGGGTAGGCGATTCTCTCCAATCACAGTTCCGAAAGGAGGAGCGCTAACAACGTATCCTCCGATCACAGCTTGCAACGAGATTGATGTGTCTTTTCACCAATCACTGCCTAGGCGCGAGGGGGTTGTCGGGATGGGGGCGGGAGCCAACATGGAGCCCTCAGTGGGATGAGGGTGAAAGTGCCATTGCCGGCTACTCCTGTTTTCCCGCCCCAGCATGCTGGTGCATTTATTTCGGGTCGGGATTCGGGGTGGCCCAGTCCCAGGCAGGCCGCTACTGCCCCTCCGCTTCCAGACATTCTCAGCTGCCAGGTAAAAAGGGAAAAACCTACTCAGCGCGGGCCATTGACCGGCCGGCAGGTCATTTCCAAGCCCGCCGGGAGATGGAGTCCGCGGGCTCGCGCGAGGCTTGCTGGGAGTTGTAGGCCAGGCCGGCCAGGGTGGAATGTCACTCCGCGGGTATTGGCTTCAATTATTTATAGTGACAGTATAGGCGCCAGCGGATGCTCCTGCGTCTGCATCCGCATGTCAGCCAGAAAGAGGGGACGCTTGGGGTCAGTGACCACGCCCAGTCCGCACTCCCAACCAAGGGTCGCCTTTCCTGGCCCCGGAGTTGATTGGGCGATTTGGGCGAAAATTCTTATTAGTGTAAAGAGGCATTTAATAGTAGTGGTGCTCCCAGGATTCAAAGTGAGTCGAACAAGAGTTGGAGATGTTCAGCAGTGATAAAGAGTCAATCTAATAGGCTAGGCGCGGTGGCTCAACCCTGTAATCCCAGCAGTTTGGGAAGCCAGGAGTTCGTGACCAGCCTGGCCAACATGGCAAAACCCCGTATTTACTAAAAACTACAAAAATTTGCTATGTGTGGTGGCACACGCCTGTAATTCCAGCTACTTCTAAAAAAAAAAAAAAAGAAACAGTCAATATAATAACGTACATGTCTGTTTTTGACAAAACACTGCACAGATTGGTCCAGAGAGAGAGAGGGACAGATGGGAAACAAACAAGGACCCTGAAACTATAGCTCGAATGTAAATGTTTTATGAGAAGGGACTGATTCCTGAATCCTTTTTTTTTTTTTTTTTTTTTGAAACAGTCTCGCTCTTGCACTCAGGCTGGAGTGCAGTGGCGCAATATCGGCTCACTGCCATCTCTGCTTCCTGGGTTCAAAGGATTCTCATGCCTTAGCCTTCCAAGTAGCTGGGATTACAGATGTGCACCTCCACACTGGGCTAAGTTTTGTATTTTTAGTAGAGATGGGGTTTCATCATTTTTGCCCGGCTGGTCTTGAATTCCTGACCTCAAGTGATCCACCTCAGCCTCCCAAAGTGCTGGGATTACAGGCGTGAGCCACCACTCCTGGTCGTCTTTTCTAATCCTAGAGTGAATAACTTGGGGGCCAAGCAGATAGAAGATTCCCAAGGGCAGGCGGATGTGGAGTTGTGTCATTTGGAAAGGCCATCTGACTGATGGAGGGCAAGAGCTGGGGCGAGCTGGAGCTGGAAGTCTTGGTGCTGGGAAGTAATCCACAAGCTCTTGGCAATGACAAAGACTTTCTTAGAGTCTTAGTTTGGAGACAATGCAAGAAGCTGGAAAAAGGCCATGGTATATTGTTGAAAGGTTTAAAAGCAGTCCTTCGGAAAGAGTAAGGGTGTCGATGTTATTTAAACCAGAGAGAAACCCAAGGAAAGACAACAAATAATATTCAAGTATATACACATTCATTAGTATTTTTCAATAGATTATGAAATGAATTTAGTGGGTCAGGACCATTTAAAAGTAAACATAGGCTGGGCACCATGGCTCCCACCTGTAATCCCAGCACTTTGGGAGGCCAAGGCAGGCAGATTACTTGAGGTCAGGAGTTCAAGACTAGCCTGGCCAATGTGGTGAAACCCTCGTTCTACTAAAAATACAAAAATTAGCCAGGTGTGGTTGCGCGCACCTGTAGTCTCAGCTACTTGGGAGGCTGAGGCAAGAGAATTGCTCGAACCGAGGAGGCAGAGGTTGCAGTGAGCCAAGATCATGCCACTGCACTCCAGCCAGGGCAACAGAGCAAGACTCTACCTCTAAATAAATAAATATATGTATGTAAATATGGGTCAGGCATAGTCGCACACATCTGTAATCCCAGCACTTTGAGAAGCCAAGGCAGGCAGATCACTTGAGTTCAGGAGTTCAAGACCAGCCTGGCCAACGTGGTGAAGCGCCATCTCTACTAAAAATACAAAAATTAGTCGGGCGCTATGGCTTACGCCTATAATCCCAGCACTTTGAGGGGTCGAGGTGGGCAGATCACTTGAGGTCAGGAGTTCGAGACCAGCCTAGCCAAGGTGGTGAAGCCCCGTCTGTACTAAAATAACAAAAATTAGCTGGGCATGATGATGCCTGTAGTCCCAGCTACTCAGGAGGCTGAGGCAGGAGAATCGCTTGAACCCAGGAAACAGAGGTTACAGTGAGCCAAGATACTGTCACTGCTCTCCAGCTTGGGCAACAGAGAGAGACACTGTCTCAAAAAGAAGGCTGGGTGCAGTGGCCCACGCCTGTAATCCCAGCACTTTGGGAAAGCTGAGGGGGGTCAATCACAAGGTCCAGCATTCAAGACCTGTCTGGCCAACATGGTGAAACCCCGTCTCTACTAAAAAAACAATAATTACCCAGGTATGGTGGTGCACGCCTGTAATCCCAGCTACTCAGGAGGCTCAGGCAGGAGAATGCTTGAACCTGGGAAATGGAGGTTGCAGTGAGCCGAGATCGCGCCCTTGTACTCCAGCCTGGATGACAGCGGCACTCCATCTCAAAAAAAAAAAAAAAGAAAGAAAGAAAAGAAAATATCAGAATACATGTTAAGAATTAGAGAAAATATTGTTTTGTGAAGCGTTTCCGTTTCGAGTGGCATATCTGTGTGCATGGCTGTGATGTAAGATATGTTTCTTTCCTTCCTCGTGGAGAACCTCTGAAAAGGGTAAAAAAAGAAAAAAAAAAAAAAGATGTTTCTTGCTGTAGTCCACAGTTAGTGTAAACATTTGCAAAACCCTGTAGTAGTTGGGTTAGATTGCATCTCTAACGAGGGCATGCATGCGCTCAACAAACATAAACATTCGTGGAACATCTATCATCTTCTGCCAGTGCTGTCTAAGATACAGTTTCCTGCCTTTCAGAAACACATGGTGTGGGAAAACTGGACAGTTACACAAGGCAGAAGGAGAGTAAGCATCTCGATCTAAAATTTATGATAGACACAAGAACACAGTGGAAAACCAGACAGAAAAGCCCGGCAGTTGGAATGGGGTGGGCGAAGGCCTCATGTAGGCAAGAGGCACAGGCCTTCCTAAAAGAAAGGCAAGGATGAGCTGAAACTGCAATTAGAAGGTTCTAGGGATGCGAAAAGCCATGTTGGGAAAGAGAAAAGCTCACACCAGTCTTTTTTACAGCCTTCCCCATCAGTAAGCTCATCTGGATCTTCCAGATCTCACCATCCTCTCCTGGCTGGATAACTTCTGCTCCCTACAACCAGTCCTGTCTGCCTCCAGACCACGCCCCTCTGCTATGATTTTTTTTTTTTTTTTTTTTTTTGAGACAGAGTCTCACTCTGTTGCCGAGGCTAGAGTACTGTAGCTCAGCTCGCTGCGACCTTCACCCCCCAGGTTCAAGTGGTTCTCCTGCCTGAGTAGCTGGGACCACAGGCACGTACCACCACACCCACCTAATTTTTGTATTTTTAGTAGAAACAGGGTTTCAATACGTTGGTCTCAAACTCCTGGCCTCAAATGATCCACCTACCTCAGCCTCCCAAAGTGTTGGGGTTACAGTATGAGCCACTGCACTCTGCCATGCTTTGATCTTTAAAATGCAAACCTGATCTTGTCACATGTCAGCCTAAAAATCACCATGGTCCTTGTTGCTCTCTTAAGTCCAGGTGCTTGATAAGAACTAGAAAACTGCCTCTCCCAGAGGTTGCAGTGGGCTGAGATTGCACCATTGCACTCCAGCCTGGGCAACAAGAGCGAAACTCTGCTCAAAAATAAAAAGACAAGAAAACTGCCTCTCCCCCAAGTCTCATGTCTCCTCTTTCTTCTTGTCAGCCAGGCTTCAGCCATACAGTTCCTGAAACTTCTCTCCTATCCTTTCTTACTGCAGAAACCCACACTTGCTCTCCCTCGGCCTAGAACTTTCCCGATTTACACCCCACCCCCACCTGTGCCCGGCCTCCTCTTCCCCTCAGGCCTCACCTAGAAGGCATGATTCCCTCTGAAGAGGAGGAGGAGGAGCAGGGCTTCAAGCTGTCTTGTGCCTGTGATTCCCAGTTAACTGTGAGTCTCCCACACTCAGGCATGGCTGCTGTGAGTGACTTTGGCTGTCATGTTCATCTCCGTCCTCTCCATACCCCTGAGCAGGGCACCTGCACACAGTAGTTCAGGTTGTCTAGAATAGGTGGAGCACGGTGGCTCATGCCTGTAATCCCAGCACTTTGGGAGGCCGAAGTGGGTAGAACGCCCCAGGTCAGGAGTTCGAGGCCAGCCTGGCCAACATGGTGAAACTCCCATCTTTACTAAAAATACAAAAATTAGCCGGATGTGGTGGCGGGCGCCTGTAATCCTAGCTACTCAGGAGGCTGAGGCAGGAGATTCGCTTGAACCTGGGAGGTTGCAATGAGCCAAGATTGCACCGTTGCACTCCAGCCTGGGGGACAAGAGCGAGACTTCATCACAAAAAAAAAAAAAAGAAGAAGAGGAAGTGCTGCTTCCAGAGGGCTCGGCCGGAGCTCCGAGGGTGGACTAGTCAGTTGGAGGACGGTCGGAGCCTCGAGCCACCCATGCCTCTTTCTCATTACAGGTACTCCAATGGCTCCCGCAGCTTCTCCCTCCCCCGGGCCGTGGCCCACCTGCGGTCCCAGCTCTGGGCCCACCTTCGAGCCCCGCTAGCTCCCAGATGGAGGCCCTCTGCTTGGTGCTGGGTTGGGGGAGCCCTGCTAGGCCCCGTATTGCTGAGTAAGCGTCCCCGCCTCTGCCTTGTGGCCCTGTGTGAGGCAGAAGAGGCCCTTCCTGCCAGCTCCACACCCCGAGTCGTGGGATCACGCTTTAACTGGAAGCTCTTCTGGCAGTTTCTGCGCCCCCACCTGCTGGTCCTGGGGGTAGCTGTCGTGGTGAGGCTTTCTCCACTTCTCCATCCTGGGGACAGGGCAGGACCTAGGAAGGGCTTGCAGAGGCCCTGAGCCAGAGCTGCAAAGGGATGGCATTCCTGCCTTGCTGCCTCTCAGAGAAGAGTTAATGGGAGCAGCAAGGGCTGGCCAGGGGTCCAGGGATGCCAGGAGCATCAACACCAGGTAGCGGGGTGTGCAGGGGGCCGTTGGGACTGGAAGCCAGGTTTGAACCTCTGAGAGGCACTGATGTGTCCACATGACCAGTTGCAGCCTGGACATAGCAGGGTTCAGTGGTGGGAGAGGAAGTGCCAATATCTGGCTGGGGCTGGGGAGGAGAATGGCTCCCCACTCAAAACACCTGTCCCGTCTGCCTCCCCATTCAGCTGGCCTTGGGTGCGGCACTGGTGAACGTACAGATCCCCCTGCTTTTGGGCCAGCTGGTAGAGATCGTGGCCAAGTACACGAGGGACCACGGGGGGAGTTTCATGACTGAGTCCCGGAATCTCAGCACCCACCTGCTTATCCTCTACGGTGTCCAGGTACAGCCGGGAGCGGGCCTGGGGGCTGCCGACGAGCCGCCGGTGGCATCCCTGAGTGCACTGGCCTCTTTCGCAGGGACTGCTGACCTTCGGTTACCTGGTGCTGCTGTCACACATCGGCGAGCGCATGGCGGTGGACATGCGGAGGGCCCTCTTCAGCTCCCTGCTCCGGTACTGCCAGCCACAGGGTGCAGACTTGGGATGACTGGTGGCCCGATGGGGGCCTGGGGTTAGGGCCTCATCCTGAAGTAATGTCTCCCTCTTCTGCCCTCCTTGTTGGTCCATGTCCCATGCCAGACAAGACATCGCCTTCTTTGACGCCAATAAGACAGGGCAGCTGGTGAGCCGCTTGACAACTGACGTGCAGGAGTTTAAGTCATCCTTCAAGCTTGTCATCTCCCAGGTCAGTGGCCCAGTGCGCCCATTCACATCCCCACACACTTACCCACGTGGACGTACCAGGCCGGTCCTGGCTGCCCCAGGCCTGATGTTGGGCCGACAGGCCACACTGACTGGAGAAGCCCGCCACCTGGTGAGGGTGTGGGGAGGGGCCACAGCAGTTCACGGAAGGGAAGTGTGGAGGCAGCATCCAAGGTCAGGACAAGCTGCTTCTCCACTGCTCTGAAACCGAATCTCCCCTGGAAAGCCTCCTCAAGCACTCAGACAAGAGCCTCTCCTTGCAAGAGCAAAATCACTTCGCCTGCCTTGTCCCCAGAGTGGTGGATCGCTGACGAGCATTGAGCATGCATAGTGGCTCTCTACTGAACACCGATGCCCTCCCCTCACCCCTCCACCGACCCTGTGACCACTGGATCATGCCAGACACTAGCCTCGGCAGTCACTGGTATACCCCATGCAGTTCTCTTTGTTCCGTTCCTAGAACAGAAAGAGAAGCAAGCTGCGTTTGTCTAGGGGAAGGACACCGCAGTTCATAACATTCTCGCTCCTTCATGCCTGCTGCTCGCACCCCAGCTGGCCAAGTTAGGGTTACATGCTGTGACCAGTGGATGGCCACTTGGCCTCCAAGGGGCCAGACCTGGGACCTTGGCCTGGGGATTACAGAGCTACAGCTGGCTGACCCTTGGAAAAGTCCTTCCTGTCATGGTGTGGATGCCATAGCCTCCTGCCTTCCCTCCCACTCTAGGGGCTTCGAAGCTGCACCCAGGTGGCAGGCTGCCTGGTGTCCCTGTCCATGCTGTCTCCACGCCTCACACTGCTGCTGATGGTGGCCACACCAGCCCTGATGGGAGTGGGCACCCTGATGGGCTCAGGCCTCCGAAAACTGTCTCGCCAGTGTCAGGAGCAGGTACTGGCCTTCCTGCCCATCCTCCTCACCCTCCCCACACCGGTTCTCTTCCCACTCCCTGGAACTCCTCCCTGTCTCCAACCTGACTTCGCATTTCCTGGCCTCCTTGCAGATTGCCAGGGCAATGGGCGTAGCGGATGAGGCCCTGGGCAACGTTCGGACTGTGCGCGCCTTCGCCATGGAGCCATGGGAAGAGGAGTGAGTCCTGGGAGGGCGAAGCACAGAGCAGATGCCCCCCCCACACCCTGCCCACCCCTCATGCCAGCCCAGCTGCCTCCTGAGTACACTGGCTTCTCTCACCAGGCGCTACGGGGCAGAACTGGAAGCCTGCCGCTCCCGGGCAGAGGAGCTGGGCCGGGGCATCGCCTTGTTCCAAGGGCTTTCTAACATCGCCTTCAACTGTGAGTGAGCTAGTCGGGGGCTGGTGGGCGCTTGTGGTCTGGGGAGGACCTGGGAGCAGGCAAGGCAGGCAAAGGGCCGTCCTCCATCTGCTGTGAGCCTGCATTTGCCTCGGGCTGGCAGCCGACTCATGCAGGTAAAGGGAGGGTGCTAATGTCCCAGCTGAACTACTGAGCTCCATGCAAAGCACTGCAGGGCCACCATCGTGGAGGCGTGCCCACCCTTCTTGCTCTTCCAAGGAGGAAACCAAGGCTGGGACCAGACATGTGCCTCACCTGACTCTCCCAGTTAGTGGCAGAGCAGGCCCAGGGTCGATTTCTCTGCTCCTGCCTCATCCCCCATCACACAGGCTCAGCCTCGTCCCCCTCACTGCCTGTCCCC